GCAAGCATTGGTTGAGTTCCCCATGGGTGCCCAGCCTGTGCTAGGCACCAGGCACACACCAGTGAACAGGACAGGCAGTATCCCTGTTGTGACAAGGCTCACAGTTCACCTCTCCAGTCTTCACTAGCCTCTCCTCCACATACCAACCTGCCTGGACACAGCGCCTATTGTCCAGCAGGCTCTGCTTGCACCTCTTCCCCCTCCACCCAGGCTCTCAAGAGAAAAATGTCCATCTGTTCCCACAGGAATAACTGCCCACATCTCAGTCAACCCCGAGAATGCAAACAAGACCTTTAACATGTGGAATGGGGGAGGGGAGAAGAGTGACCCTGATCATGTGGCCCCCACGTGCCACCCTTCACAGCATGTCATCTTCATAATAACTCCACGAGTTTGCTACCTTTGTTATGCACAGGAGGGAGCGGAGGCTCAGAGAGATGAAACCACTTGCTCAAGGACACACAGGAGAAAACAGCCAACAGCCTCCAAACACAGGTCAGCTGTGTTGCCCTTTCCCTGCACCTGTGGAGCCCAGGACCCTATGGTGCCCGCCCGCTGTCCTGGCCGATGCAGTGGAGGCCCTGCTCTGTTCTCTGGGCATTTCTTGCTCCTGTGGAAATCAGCAAGTTCGAGAGAAAAGGGGACTATTCTGAAAGATGAATATGGCTCATCTATGAATGAACTCTGAGTGAGATTTTCCTTTAATTCAAAAGGTTCTCCTCTAGCTTCCCAGCTTCTGAGAATGGTGACTAGACAGGGGCCACTGCTTGGTGTGTTCAGGCAGCACATCCCAACCCATCTGCCAACCTGCCCCCCTTCTCTCTCACCTATGCCCCCTGGAGTGGGCACTTCACAAGGGACACACTGGAAGGGGAGAACTAGGGACAGAGATTAAAAATCCGCTCACAATACCCAATCCACATCCACCAACCCCTGGAAAAAGGGACACACCCTCGCTATCTCCTCCCTCAGAACTGCCTCAGGGCTGGAGTTCTTGGGACCAGCAGCAAAACAAACTTCAGCAAGTTCAAGGGGGGAAGGTTGGTGCCAAGTCTTTGGCTGTGGAATTGGATTCTGAAGGATACAGGTGGGGCTTGTCACACCTGCATGGATGGGTGTCTGGTCTCAGCCCTCCTCCTGCAGTCCCCAGGCTCACTTAGTCAGCACTCAGGCATGTGGCTGCTTTAAAGGGGGGAAGCTCATTCAATTACCACCATGTGACCTGTCCAATACCTGGAGGCTTGACAGGGGCAGCCCGCTATCGCTCTTATCACTCATTGTTTTTTCTTCCAATCAGTGGAAATATTGAAACTGAGTTTTCCTCTTAGCTCCGCTCTTAGGGAAAGGAAGCCCTGTGTGCAGCTCACCTCCACACAGAGACTTTATTATTGCTGTGATTATAATTGTCTTACTCTTTTGTCCCCTTATCGAAGTTTCCTTATGTCTACTTTATCTTGCTGCTGTACCTGAATCTTAGTGCCCCACCTCAAATTATTTTTGGAATAAGGTGAGCTCTCAGCCCATAAAGGCAGTCCCTGGTTTGAATGAAGGTGTAGGCGTTGGGGGAGAGGGCAGTCAAGGGGGAGCATTGTAAAAGGGGCACCTGGGTTTGGAGAGAACACCTGAGAGTGAGCCCTGCTGGAGGCAGGGACCTATATCCTGCAAGAGGCCACGGCCAGCATGACTTCCCCAGCCATTCTGCTCTGTAGCTGCTTCTGGTTCTCTTTTCCAGATGAAGCTACTGACAGAAGAGATCCCATGTCTGGCCCCTGCTGCCCCAGTCTGAGCCTATCTGTCCAGGGGTTTCCCTGAAGAATGTAACACTGTCCACAACAAGCTCCCAGAGCTCCATTCTCCACTTCCAGGCAATAAGCAGAGCAAGGAGCCCTGACCTAGGTATTTTGCATCTCTTGTAAATCACCTTCCTCTTGGACAGGAGAGTGGGGGCTGTGCACTGATTCCACTTTGCTGATCAACATCTCCTGAGTAACTTGAGAGCATCTCTCTTTGAATCTTTCCTTAACGCTTGCCCACAGTTTCTAGACTGAGTCATATCTCCAAGGTAACTGTAAATACCATCATTTCTGATGGCCCAGCCGGCTACTTGCAATTATCCAGATTAATGTCAAGTGGGCACAGGATGTGTATTCTGGCTGAGCCCACGTCCACTCGGAACCCTGCATGCCTTGGCCAGGCTGGTGGCCAGAGCCCGAGTCCTCTCCCACATGGGCTGGCACCTGCTCCTGGCAACACACTGGAGGCGGGGAGGGAGGGGTGCTGGCGACATGTAGCCACGAATCCCCTGTGGTCTGCATTTGTACTCTTCTCCAGCACCCAGGACAGAACGCCCCGGAGGACCAGGGGACCTGGGCTTTTCATGTGAGACCCACCCTGAACTAGGAAAAAGCAAAGGAGCAAAGGGAAGAAAGACGTGAGGTTCCGATTCAGAGAGTCCATTTCTTTCTCTGCTCCTGGAGCCTGAGCATGAGCCTGTCTCTATGAAGGCCTCGCCCCAGGATACCCTCCGGGGACCAGAAGGGCTCTACCCTCACTTTACCCAAGGGGCACTTTCTCTTCTCTTTTCCTGTGTCTTGCTTTTAAGACAGACAAATAAATTGCTTGGTGTACTTTTTGTTGTTGTTATTAATCCTCACCCTAGGATATTTTTTCCTTTTTTTTTTTTTTTAGAGAGAGTGGAAGGGAAGGAGAAAGGGAGACGAGGAGGAGGAGAAGGAGGAGGAGGGTGGGGGGGAGAAAGACAGAGACAGAGACAGACGCATCGACAGGTTGTCTCCCACACGGGGCCAGGATCAAACTTGCAACCCAGGTACATGCCCTTGACTAGGAATTGAACCTGCGACCCTTCAGTGAGAGGGCCAACACTCTGACCACTGAACACACTGGTCAAGGCAACTCAGGGTACTTTTAAAGTGTAGAAAAGATATACACTTCACTGAGTGATTATGACATTTGCTGACCACATACTCTCAATCTTTGGGGAGAAAAGTGAGAAAGAGGAGAGCAGGTGAGGGAATGGACACAGGAAGTCATATAGAAGGGAGGGAGGAGGGGGAAAAATCACCAGGGAGGAAAATAAATGGGAGTGGTGAGGAGGCTACAAAGAGAGGAGTCAGAGTATTTGCCGAATGAACGAAATGAATGCTGAAATGTCCTCACCTAAAAGTAAGATACTAAGGGTCAAGGGGAAGCGGGGATCCCTCACCAAAAGCCCCACAGCTAGTAAGGGTTGGAGGGAGCACTAGATCCCAGGTCTCCCCAATATCCACTCTAAGAGAGCGTCAGCCTCACTTCCTCAAGGGCTGGTGTTTGAGCTCCTCAAGACCTGGGTCTGGTCTCTCCAGGAGCCTGCCCAGGAATGGATGGCCTGGTGTCTCAACTTACTTACAACACCTCACTGCTGGCTTCTGCCCAACCTAACTCCCGAATAAGAGCCCTAGCCCAGGAAGAAATGGGGGGTGGATAGGAAACCCGAGCTCTAGTGGCTGCTCTGCCTCTGACTTGCTGTGTGACCTGGAGGAAGTGCCTTCCCCTCTCTGGATCCCTGAATCCCCTCTATAAGGTGTGACCAGGGACTGGATGATGAAGCCAGGATGGCTTTGCTGAGTCCTCTCAGCAACCTTACCCCTCACAGCTAGAATGGCATAATGAAGGTGCTCAATAAATACTGAAGACAACTGACCCAGGAATAATGCTAGACTACCTGGGAGGGCTGGGAAAGCCAGGAGTCTGTGGTTTGGGGAGAGAGCAAAGCAAAGTTACCCAGCTGAATGAAGGGAGGTTTCCGCTTGCACCGGATGGTTGTGTTTGAGACTCTTGGAAGCAGTAATGATTATATCAGGAAATGGGACATTTGCGCTGTCTCAAAGGCAGACAGGATAAAAGCAAACCCCTTGGTATCTCCTGACAAACACTGGAGTCCCGGGCATCCCAGTGCAGTTTTATGTGCTTACCCTCAAACAAAAAGGTGTGAGTTATTCACCACCACTGATTACCCCTCCTACTCTTTGCAAATTGTGGGCAATGAGACAGCAACTGCCTGGAGCTCCTAGCCATCCAGAGACAGCCCCTAGCGCTCCCCCCAGCCCATAGTGCTCTCTGCTTCCCCAAACTCCCTCCCCACAGGTCACCCCATTCTTTCCTCTCCTCCTCTTCTGCCAATCACCCAGACACCAGCCAAGCCTGGACACTCTCAGCACTGACCTCCACAGTCCTCCAACTGGAGGGCAAGTTCCCCACCTACAGAAATCACCCAAATCTCCCCGTCAAATTTGAAAATGTGGGTCCTTGCTCCCCTCTCTTCCCCCACAGCCCCAGCAGAAGCACATTCCCTAGCCCCCACGCTTGCCTATAGCAGCCGGTGTTACCTCTCTGCCACCTCCACCAAGCCAGGGCTCAGAGACTCATCGCCACCTCCCCAGGTTGCCCCGCCCAGCACCCTATCAGCACTTGGTTGGACCAATCCAGTCGCCCATCTACCACTGCCCTTATCGGAACCAGAACCCGTGGGTTCAGGATGATTTGAACTTAGAATGGAAGTTCAACGCAAAGTGAACTTAAAGTGGAGGGATCTTGAAGTTGGGCCCGGGTTCAAGAGTGACCTCCACCACTCGCCAACAATGCTTAAACGCAGTCACTTGAACCTCCGTTTCCTGGTCCGTAATGAGGAACCATTACCATGTGCAGCGCAAGGACTGTGCTAAGGATTTTATGTGCATTTTTCTCATTTCATTCCCTACTGCCGAGTGAGAGCTGGTACTTTCATCATTATTGTCATTTTACAAAAGAGGAAGTCGGGGCTCAGGGAAGTTACACCTAAAATCACTTGGCCCGTGGATGATGGAGCCATGCATAAATCAAACTCAGCTCTGCAGGATTCCCACCCCACCCCCAGACCCCAGACCCCTGGATGTGCGGAGGCAGCAGAAGCAGGGCCCTGCCCAGCCAGCATGCTTGCTCCTCCCGTCTCCCGCCCGCGCTACCTTCCTTGGGCGCATTGGCGTCCCAGACGCTCCACATCTGCACAAAGAAGAATGGTGTCCAGCACACGATGAAGGCCAGCACGATGATGAAGGTCATCTTGACCGTGCGGATCTTGGCCCTGGAGATGAGCTTGACGCTGCTGACTCGAGCCAGGGCCGCGCCCTCCCTACTGCCCGCCATTGCGCCCTCGGGCCCCTTGGCCGCCCCCTCTGCCGCCGTCTTGATCCGAAAATTCTGCCAGATCTTGAAGCAGATGAGGCTGTAGCAGGCGGTCAGCACGATGACCGGCACGATGTAGACGGCGAGGGTAATCCATGTGACGTAGGCCTTGGGCCCCCAGGGCTGGATGAAGCCGGCCCAGCAGTCGAAGACGCCATCAGCCACCTCGCGTATGGAGAATATGTGCACCTGCGGGGCGCTGGCCACCAGGCAGCCCAGCCACGTGATGAGCACGGCCAGGCGGTCCGCGCGGCGGCGCAGGGTGCGCAGCGGCTGGCAGATGGCCAGGCAGCGGTCCAGCGACATGAGCAGCAGCAGGTAGGTGGAGGCGAACATGCCCACAACCTGTAAGTACTTGACCAGGCGGCACAACAGGTCAGGGCCGTAGAAGCGGAAGGTGATGTCCCACAGCAGCTGTGGCAGCACCTGGAACACCGCCACCACCAAGTCGGCAATGCTCAGGTGCTTCATGAAGAAGAAGAGGCGCGAGTGCTTGTGGCGCGTGGTGCGCAGCGCCAGCAGGACGCAGGCGTTGCCGCTCAGTGCCAGGAAGAGGATGAGGCACAGCACGGCCACCTCCACGCGCGCCAGGGCCTCGTTGCGCTGCGGCCCGAGCGTGCGGTTGCCCTCTGCCCCTGGCGGTGCCGCACTCCCATTGACCACCTCGGCGCTCCAGTTGGCTTCAAGGGTACCCTCCATGACCGTGACCGCCGCTGCGTGATCCTGGCCTTTGGTGCTTTTTAAGGCGTGATGCGACGGGGCGGGACCCGACGGGGTAGGGCGCAACGGGGGGCCTCCTGGCGTACCTGGGGGCGGCTCTGATTTCTCTCCCGGAGACTCCGCGGGCAGATCTGCTGGGTGGGACCCTGAAACAAACCCCCAGAGCCTTGAAAAGACCACCACAGTTCTCTCCCGACGCACGTGCAGCGGAGGTGTCCCTTCCCAGGACCCCAAATCCTCTGAGACTCGGGACACAACTGCCAGCCCCGGGATTGCTCAGCCGCCACCCCAGAAATCCCAGTTTGCGGTACCTCCTCTGAGCCGCTGGAAATGAGCGCGAACCTACCGGACAGCCAGTTCCTTGAGGGATTCAGTCGCTTCGACAGAGGAGAGGGGAGAGTCCTAATCGGCCACTTTGCCTCAGGACTGGGACGCCTCCTAAACTAGCCACCTTCCCCAGGGATCCCCAAACTAGCTACCCGCCCCCAGGACTCTCAGCACTGCCACTTCCCGCAAGACCCCCAAACCTTTCCTAGTAAACGTTTCTCCCGTTACTTCCCCTGGAGATCCCCGGCAGCCCTTGCCTGGAAAACCACAGCTCAGGACCCTCCTGCAACTTCCTGTTTCTAAGACGCTTAACCATCCCCCCAACCCCGAATTTCCACAGCAGCTGCTTCCGTGGAACCCCAGCCCAGCGGTCCCTTCTAGGAAACCCTGCTTCAGTATCTGCCTCCAGGACGCCCAACCGCTGTTCCCAAAACCCCTCCCGCGGGGGTCCTCCCCGACCCAGTCCCCTCCCGAAGGGCGCTTCCCCAACCCAACACCCTCGGGCATTCCAACACGCATCTTGGTCCCTAGAGTCATGGGCTCTGTCACTTTACAATCTTGGGGCACCCCGCGCGCCTACAGGAACCAGGAGAGCGAGGCACTTCACCACTTTCACTTGGATCCGAAATGGCCCATCAGTCCCAGCCATCCCATCCACTGAGGGGCAGGATCCAGGTACCTGCACCGAATCCACAGACTGGCCTGAAGTTGGCTCCCAGAGTTGCACCACCGCGGAAGACTCCAAAGATGCGAGCGCTCCCAGCCCAGGTTAGGGTGGCTGTGTTGGCGCCGTCTGACACTATATTGAGTTCTTGCACTCTGGAGCCTCCGCAAAAATCCCCTCACCGGCAGCCTGATGGTTGCAGGATGGGGACAGAGGCGAGCGAGGAGTGAGGAGCGCCCTGAGGCTGGTGCGCGGACAGCGTCAGCCTGCGGTGTCGTCTGCCAGGGGCCGCTTTTCTGCAGCGAGTGACCGGGGCTGCACCACCACAGAAACCCGCCGGGGGGCGCAGAAGGCTGACAGAGCCGACCCCCGCAGAGCCGGGTTAACCCGCTAGGCGTTGGCCTCTGAGCGGTAACCAGCAGGTTTATTTCAGAGGCTTAAAACTGGAAGGAAGGAACTTGTAAATAACCCTGTTGGTTTCTTCCTTTCTTGGTTCAGAAGCTGCAGACTCTCAGGCAATGGGAGGCTTGAGTAGCAGTGTTTTCCCGAGTAGATGGTGATGAAGTTGCAAAAGCATTTAACTGATATTTCCCATCTACCAGGCAGGTTAATTTCAGGGCTTTTTTTTTCCCCCTCCCAGGGGCTTGATGTGGTGGATTTACCAGTGAATCCGAGTAAGTCCTTGCTTTGGAATATTTTTGCTCACATTCCCATTCTTGAGGAATTAGAAATGCTGTCTGTTCTAATCAGCACGGGGAGAGGTCTTTGTTTTTTAAGTTGTTTTAGGGAGAGATCTCAAGGAGATGGAGGGTTAAATATTCATTTTAAAGTGATTCTGTTCATATGGGGCCCTAAATCATTTCTACCTCCTTGCCATGCTTCAAAATTAAAATCCTAAATAGTGCCAAAGGACGGTTAAATGTTAAAGACTGCTTCTCTGGCTCCTAGCTCCTTTTCTATTCTAAAATCGTTTTTTTTGGAGTAATTTACAGTGGCTAGAATGAAGGCAGAAGAAAAAAAGTGGAGATTCAAAAAATAACAGAGCTCTTTAAAATTTATTGAATGCGTATTTCCTCCTGACATTTCACTTCTCCTTTTCATTATGTGAACACAGCTGAGTTAGCCAAGGACCCTGTTTCCTGATTCCACAATTACAGTCCGATGCCAAGACTCTGGGCAGACCCTTAGGCAGCCCTGGGCCCGTGGTTCTAGTGGACTGCGCCTTCTAGGATGGGGCCTGGGAATTCCACTTCCTGCAACATTGCGAAGGGGTGAGGGGCAAGAGTTGTCTTTTTCTTGCCCTTGGGATTTGTTTAGAAAAATATTGTTTAGAAAAATTCAACTGAGTCCATTTTAAAGATCGTATTGGCTTTATTTAATGATTCATGAATCAAGCAGCATCCAATCTAGCAGACAGAAAACAGCTCAGAGGACTCTTACAAAATGAAAGACTTTTTATAAGCAGAAGGGAGAGGGAACAAGGAGTTACACTAGGCAAAAAGTGGTTTGGTTATTGCAAGGTTACTTTCCCTGTAGGAGATGACGGGTTTATCAGGTAGATTACCTAATTAGTGCTGATCAGAGGACTCCTGGCCAGTTTAGGATTCCATCTCTGGGAGAGTCAAACTGTAATTAGGTTAAATCTCAGTTTGGCAATGTTGGACTTAGCATAAGTGACACCACTTGAGGCCTGTTGTCTTGGTGTGTTTTTTTAACAATATTAATAGTATCTGCCACACTAATTACAGATGAAGATTAAGTGACCCTGGGCCTCCATTTCTGCATAAGTAAAATGAGGGCTGGTCAGTAGCTAATCTCTCAGATCACATCCTCTGGTTTTCTGAAGTTTTATAATCCATGCCACATCGAAGCTTAATTCTAGCGTGTAAAACACATCGGCCCCATTCCATGGCCAGATGAGGAGGGGTTTCCCCTAAACACCCTGAGGGGTAAATTCTGGAAGGAAACCTTGGGCCTGAAGAGCCCAGCCTGCCCCTCACTCTGCAGGAAGAGAGCTGCCTGCAGGGAACAGTTTTCCTGGCCACTTCTCCAGGGCTACACTCTTCCAGCCCACATGAGAGGCCTGCCCAGTCCTATGCAGAATTCTGGACACACTTAGCAGGACCATTCGGTCTCATACAATAGCTAAAATCTCATGTAGCCTTCATGGGGGGGGGGGGGGGGGGGGAGAGTGAATGGTTTGATTCCCATTCATCTTGTTTTATTTCTCAAGTGTGCAAAAGCCAGGCGGGGGTGGGGGGAAGTGCTATTTATTGTGGGGTCCCTGTGAAGACTCCTCACAATGAATAAGGCATGCTCCCACCCCCAGTGCCTCCAGCTGAGGAGATGTTGCCCCCACCCCACATGAGCAGTGCTTTGCAAACAGGGAAGTATTGTACAACTCACTCTGTGTTATACTGACAGTCCTCACCCCAGGTCCATCCAATGAAAACTGTTTCTCATCCAATCAACCTCCATCTTATTAATCCTTCTGGATGGAGTTCCACGTGTCTTTTCAATTCAGTTAGCCAAACACTGTGTGTGTGTGTGTGTGTGTGTGTGTGTGTGTGTGTGTGTGTGTGACTGTGCCAGGCAAGGATAGTAACTCCTTTGATCCTAACTGGTGTGATGGGAATTCTAAATCTACCTCCTCAGGGACACCCTCTTTCTCTGACTACCCTGCCCTCTGAGAACTCCCCACTTTATGAGCCTCTGCTGCGTGAGCGCAGGTTTGCACAGTGCAGATTTCACTTGTAATGTGAATGTGCTCAGTCTCCCCATTCCGTTGTAAGTGCCTAGTATCAATCCCATATATCAAAGTCCTTTATGTATTTACCTACCATCTTTCCTATCATACATACCTATCAATAAAAATATGTTGAGAAAATGGTTGCTGGACTACCCAAGAACATCCCTCAACAAATTAGTCACCAGGGGCAAACCTGTGCTTCCCAGAACAGTATTTCTGTGGAAATCAAGATGAGGAGGAATCTTTGTGAGAAAGCATGTTACTCATGCATATGTGCCATTCTTCCAGAGAGGACGTGATGACAGAGATAAGGCATGATGCTTCTAATTCCACGAACATGCCCACTGACAGTGGATGTCACAGCACAACTATTTAGAAATTGGCATAAAAAAATGTTCTCCCTTGGTAGACACTGTTGGCCTAGGTTAAGACATAACTAGAGAGAAAAGCATTTTTCAGCAATCACAGACCTTGGAATAAAAACAGGCTGTTCTGTTGCAGATGGAAAGGCTTATTCAGAGTCAGGATCTTTGAATTTGTGACTTCTTTTGGAGGATTAGGGCCTGGAAGAGTGGAGGGTCATTTAAAAGTGGCCATAAATCTCAAAACAAGCAGAATGGTTGTGATTCTCATGTCTATTTCACAGAGGAGGAAACAGGTTCAGAGAGGGAAGGGGGCTTGCCCACAGCCACACAACTGGTTAAAGATGGCTGGCATGAAGCATGAGGCAAATGTAGAGAGGGTGGGAGAACCAGACCACCCCCTCTGGGAGCTATGGTGGGGACTTTGCTCGCTCTCTCTCTCTCTCTCTCTCTCTCTCACTCAGGGTGCCAGGAAGATTTGGGGTTTTTAAGGAGAGCTGTGATCAGTGATAAGCATTTACATTGTGGGGGTGGGGGGCATAGATTGGAAGCAGGCAAATCAATTAAGAAGCTGTTGAGAATAGAGGTAGCCTGAATAGGGTGGTGCCCGGGGCCACATGGCAAGGACTTGCCCAGTGTCACAAGTGAAACCAGACCACACTCTCATTTGTCCATGGACCCAGCCACCCCCTGTGCCATGAAAGGCCTGAGCAGCATTAAAGAGGCTCTGGAGGTGAACGCTGGAAAGACGTTTTGGTAAAGTAGAGAGCGGCTGAGGAAAGGGGATAAGAGAGTCCCCTGGAATCATGTGAGGTCAGTCTAGATCAGTGGTTCTCAACCTTCCTAATGCCACGACCCTTTAATACAGTTCCTCATGTTGTGGTGACCCCCAACCATAAAATTATTTTCGTTGCTACTTCATAACTGTAATTTTGCTACTATTATGAATCATAATGTAAATATCTGATACGCAGGATGTATTTTCATTGTTACAAATTGAACATAATTAAAGCATAGTGATTAATCACAAAAACAATATGTAATTATATGTGTTTTCCGATGGTCTTAGGCGACCCCTGTGAAAGGGTCATTCGACCCCCAAAAGGGTCGCAACCCACAGGTTGAGAACCGCTGGTCTAGATACACACAGGACATGCAACTAAAACAAAGCTCTCTCTTCTGTCAACACTCCTACCCATTTCTATCAGCTCCTAATAGGATTGAGAAGGAACCTGTGGGAAACTACAGTGACCTCTCAATACAAAGCTGTCCCAAGCCTCAGGCAGCCCCACCTCTTCTCCACCAATTCCAACAACCATTCATTGTTCTTCTTTATTAAAAAAAAGAAAGGAAGGAGGAAGGGAAGGAGGAAAGAAAGAGGGAAAGAGAGAGAGAGAAAGGGAAAAGATATTTCTTCCCAGAGGGGTAACCGACAGAAGTCTGCCTGGGATGTTGACCACCTTGTACTATTTCCTGTGCTCTGTTATGCACAAACATGCATTTAATACATATTTCCTAAGCACCTGCTGGGTACCCAGTGGAGTGATCCTGAAAGGCAGTGCTGTGGGTCGAGTTGAACTCCACCAACCAGTGCTCCGGAGCCGGGTGAGAAAATCAAGGCAAGGGGAGGGACCAGAATCTCTGCCTGAATTCAGTTACGATGCCACCAGGAACGCACTGCCCGGTGTGGCCCATGGGCAAGCCCCATGCCTGCCTGGCCCCATTTTCTTTCCTTAAAATGAGACAATCTCTATGGTCCCTCACAGCTCTCGCTTCCTATCATCCTCTAAGTCTGGGCAGCAAAACACACACGGTGAAGCAGTGAGTATAGAACAGACGAATGAAGCATCCTCAGTGTCAATGAGGCTCAGGCACATAGTAGGTACTCAATAAACACTAGCAGAAAGAATGAGTATGTGCTGTATGGGAAAGGCTAACACGCTCTATAGAAAGAGTGAGTCCAGCCAGTGAAATATTATCATTTTTCACCTAGAAAACAGATGAAAATGAAAAAGGAAAATGCCCTGGGAGGGAGTGGGGAGGGGGCAGGGGGTCTGATGCTCTCAAACATTGCTGACTGAAGGGAATGTATTTTGGAATAGCCTCCATAAGAGAAAACTGGACAATAGTATCAAAAGTCTGA